CAGCGGAGGAGCCAGGGGCGCAGCATTCAACCTCCCTCTTTGTTTCCTTGTCATTTTCAGTACTTCTCCATTCAGTTATTTTTGTATATACACCGCATTTGAATCCAGACCTTGACATGTAGCCTGGCTAGTTACATTGAAATGACGGTGCCGATCTGGCTCGAACCGAGCCAGCCAGCTGGGGAGCCGTGGGAGACGCCACGGCGTGGAATGCGGGCAGGGGTCTCGAGATGGTCTGGCACGCAGGGGACTAGTCAGCTGGCAGCGTCGTCGTTGTCGCGGCTTTTGCTGCCACCGTGGATGATGCCGCCGTTGCGCTTGCCATCATCGATGATGCTCCTGTTGCAGGCTCTGCCGTCGCTTTGGGCCGCCTTCTCGCCGCCATTTCCGTTGCCGTCTAGGTCACCGCCTTGGATTGACCCGAGGACTCCTCGACAGTTGCGAGAGATAGCCCAGCTCATCACCATCGGCGTCAACTTGCTCCATTGGCTGCCTCGCATGTCGACGCCGTCGTCGCCGCCGCCGCCATTCTGGCCACCGTCGCCATCGCTCTCTTGGTAATAGCCGCCACCGTCGCCACCGCCGCAGTCGCTTCTTTTGGCGCCATCGCCACCGCAGCCTGCCGCCGTGGCCGTCGCCTTCGTTGTCGTCATCGCCGCCGCCGCCGTCGTCGCCTGTCGTGGTCGAAGCCGGGCGAGGCGCGAGCCGAGATGGACCAGCTCCAGGAACAGCTCGACGAGCTGCGCAGAGCTGCCGCTGCCGCTGCCAAGAGGTCGAGCGGCAGCGACTCCGAGGAGCTGGAGGCCTTTCCCATCCGTGCAGAGGGTCCTCGAGAAGCCTTTGCAGTCCTTCCGCGAAGCCGGATACACATGACGTGGCAGGCCTGGGCGAGAGCTGGATACGTATGTGGCTGCACGTCTTCCAGCGGCCGGCCTTCGTGTGGCCGGGCACGCCGGCCCTCAACGAGTGTAGCCAGCGCAGATTTTTCGCATGGGAATCCAGCCGCGTGTTTTCCCCGCGTCGTGGTACAAAGCTGCGCAGATGCCCACTTCAGCACGCTTCCTCGGCGGACCGGCATGCCCCACGAGTCGCAACACCGTCAGACTCTGGCCAAGGAGGGACGATCAAGAACGCGGAGCATCTTGGGTGATGGCCACAAGTAGGAGCAGCGTGTTTGATGTTCAAGGCCTCGTCTTTGGCAGTTGTGAGTGCTGGGCCTTGGTGATTCGCTTGTCATGTCTTTGTATTCTAGACGCTTCGCGTAAACCCACCAGCTTCGCCTAGTTCGCGTCCCGGACTTTGCTCTTGCCGCCTGACCGTCGTCTCGCGGCCGCGACCGGAAAAAGTAAACCCACCAGCCCGTACAGAAACGATGCCCAGGCGATTTGCCTTGATCAGGGATGTGGAGGAGCATGCAGTGGAATAGCGGGTCAGGAAAGCGGTTATATCCTCAGAGGCGTAGGATGGATGAGGATGGAGGATGGAGGATGGAGGATGGAGGATGGAGGATGCAGGATGGAGGATGGAGGATGCAGGATGGAGAATGGAGGAGGATGAGGAGGATGAGGAGGAGAATGAGGCGGAGGAGGAGGAGGAGGGGGAGGAGGCGGAGGAGGAGAAGGAGGAGGAGGAGGAGGAAGAGGAGGAGGAGGAGGACCGGGGAGGTGGAAAAGGGAGCAGGGAGGAGGAGGAACAGGCGGAGGAGGAGGAACCGGGGGAGGAGAAGGAAGAGGGGGAGGGCGAGCAGAATGGCCAGAGGCCTTTTGGATACATCTCGGAGTGTTTCTGGATGTCTCTTGAGAGCTTCTTGGAGTCCTCCTGGGGCGTTTGGGGGGCTTCTTGGCGGTCCTGGGGGCCTCTCGGAGCGTCTTGGGTGCCTCGGGGGAGCCTCTTGGGGCCTCTTGGGGGTCTCTTGGGACCATCTTGGGGGGCCTCTGGGGGCCTCCTGGGCGCTTTTGGGGGCCCTCTTGGGGCCCTCTTGGGAGCCTGGCCATCTTGGTGGAGGTCGATCAAAGAAAGGGGGGGGTATTTAATTAGCGCGCCCCCACCCCCCCCTCTGTCCGCTGGGAGGCAAAAATGGGTCCAAAACTTACGTAGCAACATTGGTTTTGGCCTTCTTGCCAGGGCCACCGTGGACATTTCAACGACCCGCTTCACCCCCCCCCCAGACCCAGGGGTAGGGGGTAAGAGGAGGGGTAACCCCCTTCCCGTAGGGGAAGACGGGGGTTGGAAGAGGACATGCTCTAAACCACTCATGCCCTAAAGGACTGGTGGGACTCTAACCCTTGCGCCAGGCTTCTTTGCATGCTGCCTGGGTTGCTTCGCGCCAAGCAAAGATCTGGCAGCTTGTTCAGTCTTCCCAGAAGTGATGTGTCCTTCTAGCGTTGGTTCCCATACCCTGATGCTCGTCTCACCCTCCTTGGCCAAGGCGTCTCAGTCAGAGCTGAAGCATGCGATGGCGCGCATCGCGGAGCTAGAGAAGCTGAATGCCGAGCAAGAGGATCCTGCATCGATGACGTCTCCTGCTTTCACACGTGGATCAAACCAACATCGGTCGACAGTGGAATGTGTGTGCAGAAGTGACCTCAGACAACCTTCTCGGCTCCACAGAACAAACTTCACTGAGTAGTCTTCTTGCCTCTTTGGTGACGGTCTCCTCCACGAGCGTCCCGTGCTCATACTTGGTGCTCTTCGCTCCGCTTTCGCTCGACTCATATGCCTGTCATCTCCGTCCCACGAAACATCCGGCCATCTCCTCTGTGCAGGGAGGTTTGTTGTTACCTTTCTCCAGCTCGATCCCTCGCCGATGAGAACTCCGCAAGAGAGCAGTGGTAAGAGTTGGTTCCGACGTCGCAGGGAACGCGGGGCATGTGGCCAAGGCAAAGTGGAAAGAGTTGAACCCCTTCCGCCTCCGCGGGCTCGGAGGAGTAGGGGCAAGGAGGATAGCGAGGAGGAGGACGAGGAGGAGGAGGAGAAGGATGAATAGGATGAGGATGAGGATGACGATGATGATTATGATGATGATGAGGAGGAGGATGATGATGATGACGATGCTGATGATGATTTTGATGCTGCTGATGCAGATGATGCGGATAATGATGCTGATGATGATGGTGATGATGACGATGATGATGCTAATGACGATGATCATGATGGTGCTGATGCTGATAGTGATGCTGATGATGATGCTGATGCTGATGATGATGATGATGATGGTGCTGCTGATGCTGCTGATGATGCTGATGATGGTGATGCTGATGATGCTGATGATGATTATGCTGGCGATCATGCTGCTGCTGATTGTGATGATGCTGATGATGATGCTGATTATGATGATGACGATTCTGATGATGCTGCTGATGATGATGGCGATGATGAGGCTGCCGATGATGCTGATGATGATTAGGTTGATCATGCCGATGTTGCTGATGATGAGGATGCTGATGGTGATGCTGATGCTGACGATGCTGATGCTGCTGCTGCTGCTGCTGATGATGATGATGATGATGATGATGATGATGCGGCTGCTGAGGATTATGCCGATACTGATGCTGATGCTGATGATGATGCTGACGATGATGCTGATGCTGCTGATGATGCTGCTGATGCTGCTGCTGATGATGCTGATGATGATGCTGATGCTGCTGATGGTGATGATGATGGTGATGATGCTGCTGCTGATGATGCTGATGCCGATGCTGATGATACTGCTGCTGATGGTAATAACGATGGTGATGCTGTTGATGATGCTGCTGATGATACTGATTATGCTGCTGATGATGCTGATTATGATGCTGAATGTGATGATGATGATGATGATGATGATGATGCTGATGCTGGTGACGATGCTGATGCTGATGATGATAGTGATGATGCTGCTGATGATGGTGGTGATTTTGACGATGATGATGCTGCTGCTGATGATCATGATGCTGATGGTGATGGTGATGATGATGATGATGATGATGATGATGATGCCGATGATGATGATGATGATGATGATGATGATGATGAGGATGATGATGATGATGATGATGCTGACGACGATGCTGATGATGCAGCTGATGATGATGGTGATGCTGGCGATGCTGATGCTGACGATGATGCTGTTGCCGATGCTGATGCTGATGGTGAGGTGGAGGAGGAGGATGAGAATAATGATGAGGAGCACACATAATCATAACCTTACTACTGATATTCTGAAGACGAAGAACAGTACTATTCATAATAATAGTAATGCTAAGACGAGTAATAATCCTAATGATAAATGACACACGTACGGCTCATCATCCCAAAAGTAGTAAGAATATGATTGCGACGAAAAGCACCAGGAATAATCATAGTCATGATAAGACGAACACAAAGAATCATCACATCCACAATGACTAGACTAATAAACACAATGATGATAACAGGAGGAGGAGGAGGGAAAGGAGGAGGAGGATGAGGCGGAGGAAGAGGAGGCGGAGGTATACGGAGGTATACGGAGGTAGGTATATAAGAAAAGGTAGACGGAGGTAGCTAGGAGGAGGTAAGAGGACGTATGATGCGGTAGGAGGATCAGAGGAGGAATCGGAGGAGGAGGAGAACGCGAAGGAGGAGGAGAAGGAGGAAGAGGAGGAGGAGAAAGAGGAGGAGAAAGAGGAGGAGGAGGTGGAGGATGAGGAGGAGGAGGAGGAGGAGGAGGCTGTGGAGGAGGAATACGAGAAGGAGGAGGAGGAGGAGGAAAAGGGAGAGGAAGAGGAGGATGAAGAGGAAGAGGAGAAGGAGGAAGAGGAGGAGGAGGATGAGAAGGAGGAGGAGGAGGAGGAGCAGGAGGAGGGGATTCCCAGGGATTGCTAGGGAGTCGTTGGGAGTCGTAGGGATTCCTAGGGAGTCGTAGGCAGCCGTAGGGAGTTGTAGGAATTCAAAAGGATTCCTAGGGAGTTGTAGGGATTCCTAAGGATTCCTATGCATTCCTATGGATTCCTCGGGATTCGTATTCCTGAGGGTTCCTAGGGATTCCTAGGAATTTCTAGGGATTCGAGGCAGTGAAATCCGCAGGAGTCCTTGTAGGGGTTCCTAAGGATTTCACGAGGGACCCGGACGGGCAAGGCGTTCGGTTTGCGCAAGGAGTTTGAAGGATTCGCTAGGGATTCGTATGAATTCGTTGGGCTTCCTAGGGATTCCTAGGAATTCCAATGTAGTGAAATCCTTAGGAATCCTTGCAAATCGAAGGGATTCGCGGGGCCTCCTAATGATTCGAATAGGGACCAGGACGCGCAGGGCGTTCGGTTTGCGCAAGGAGTCTTAAGGATTCGCCAGGGATTTCTAAGGATTCATAGGAATTCGTTGGGATTCCTAGGGATTCCTAAGGATTCTTAGGGACCCCTAAAGATTCCATTGGATTTTTAGGGATCCCTGGAGATTTTTCAGGAATCCTAAGGATTCCGATGGATTTCCATAAATTTCTAGGGATTCCTAGGCATTCCTAGGCATTCCTAGGGATTCCTAGGTAGTGAAGTCCTTGGGAATCAATGCGAATCGTAGAGATTCGCGGGGGGGGCAAGGCGTTCGGTTTGCGCACGGAGTCTTAAGGATTTGTGAGGGAGTCTTAAGAATTCGTAGGGAGTTGTATGGATTCCTAGGCATTCCTAGGGATTCTTCGAGATTCCTTAGGATTCCGAGGGATTCCTAGAGATTCCTAGGGATTCCTAGGGACTCTTAGGAATTCCGAGGGATTCGCAGGGATTCCTAGAGATTCCTAAGGATTTCTAGTGATTCGTAAGGATTCCTAGAGATTCGAAGGGATTTCGAGATAGTGAAATCCTTAGGAAGCCTTGCAAATCGAAAGGATTCGTTGGGTCTCCTAAGGATTTCACTCGGGAGCCGGACGTGCAGGGCGTTCGGTTTGCGCAAGGAGTCTTAAGGATTCGCTTGGGATTCCTGGGGATTCCTAGGGATGTCTAGGGATTCCTAGGGATTCCCAAGGATTCCTAAGGATTCCTGGGGATTCCCAGGGATTCCTGGGGATTCTTCGTTGGAATTCCTGAGGATTGCTAGGGATTCCTAGGGATTCCTAGGGATTCCGAGGGATTCCGAGATAGTGAAATCCTTAGGAAGCCTTGCAAATCGAAAGGATTCGTGGGGTCTCCAAAGGATTTCACTAGGGACCCAGACGAGCAGGGCGTTCGGTTTGCGCAAGGAGTCTTAAGGATTCGGTAGGGATTCCTCGGGATTCCTAGGGATTTGTTGGGATCCCTAGGGATTCCTAGAGGTTCGTAGGGATTCCTAGGGATTCCTAGGGATTCCTGAGGATTCCTAGGGATTGTCAGGATTCCTAGGGATTCCTAGGGGTTCCTACGGATTCCTAGGGATTCCTAGGAAGTCCTAGGGATTCCTAAGGATCCGTAGGGGTTCCTAGAGATTCCTAGGGATTCCGAGATGGTGAAACCCTCAGGGATCTCTGCAAATCGTAAGGATTTGCAGTGCTTCCTAAGGATTCCTCAGGATTTCACTAGGGACCCCGACGCACAGGGTGTTCGGGACCCAGACGCGCAGGGCGTGCGGCCCGGACGGTCAGGTCGCGACATAGTAGTAGTAGTAGTAGTAGTAGTAGTAGTAGTAGTAGTAGTAGTAGTAGTAGTAGTAGTAGTAGTAGTAGTAGTAGTAGTAGTAGTAGTAGTAGTAGTAGTAGTAGTAGTAGTAGTAGTAGTAGTAGTAGTAGTAGTAGTAGTAGTAGTAGTAGTAGTAGTAGTAGTAGTAGTAGTAGTAGTAGTAGTAGTAGCAGTAGTGGTGGTGGTGGTAGTAGTAGTTGTAGTAGTAGAAGCAGTAGTAGGAGTACTAGTAGGAGTAGTAGGAGTAGCAGGAGTAGTAGTAGAAGAAAGAGTACTCGTCGTCGTCGTCGTAGTAGTAGGAGTAGTGGTAGTAGTAGTAGTAGTAGTAGTAGTAGTAGTAGTAGTAGTCGTCGTAGTATTAGTAGTAGTAGTAGTAGTAGTAGTAGTAGTAGTAGTAGTAGTAGTAGAAGTCGTAGTCGTAGTCGTAGTCGTAGTTATAGTAGTAGTAGTATTAGTAGTAGTAGTATTAGTAGTAGTAGTAGTAGTAGTAGTAGTAGTAGTAGTAGTAGAGTCGTAGTAGTCGTAGTCGTAGTCGTAGTCGTGTAGTAGTAGTAGTAGTAGTTAGTAGTAGTAGTAGTAGTAGTAGTAGTAGTAGTAGTAGTCGGTAGTCGTAGTAGTCGTAGTAGCGTATCGTAGTCGTATCGTAGTAGTCGTAGTCGTAGTAGTCGTAGTCGTAGTCGTAGTCAGTAGTCGTAGTAGTAGTAGTAGTAAGTAGTAGTCTTAGTAGTAGTGGTATGATCGTAGTCGTAGTCGTATCGTAGGCGTAGTAGTCGTAGTCGTAGTAGTAGTTGTAGTAGTAGTAGTAGTAGTAAGTAGTAGTAGTAGTAGTAGTAGTAGTAGTAGTAGTGTAGTAGTTGTAGGTAGTAGGTAGTCAGTAAGTGTAGTAGTAAGTAAGTAAGTCGTA